TCCTGCTGATCTCTCTCTGTTTTACATGTGTTGATGACCCTCTCTCCTTTTTAAGGGTCCTGATGTTACATTGATCAAACTGTCCTTTCATCTGCAGTTGTGCTGTCTGTTCACCATTCCTGGTAATGTCTCTCTTTTCTTTCACAACCCTGCACACTGTTTTAGCTCTAGCTAAAAACCTGAACTCAGGTATGGTGAGATTAATTTAGGTGTAGAAATAACTGACAGTGAAGTATTACATGCACTGTTAAGATGCTCAATCTGAATAAGAGGCATACATTTAATTATAATGACTACAGGACTAATGACACAATATCTTTTGTCTATTTTGACAATTTTTGCCAAGTGTGTTGTGTTTCCTTGAACTTTATATATTTTGTTTCAAGGTAATTTGCATCACAAGAGGTGAGAAACTCCATACCAGCTATGAACGGACTGCCCAGAGGAGTTTTCCATCTATTGACTCCTCTGTGAAATCCTATGAAATATGAATTTTCATTTCTACCCAGGAGAACTTTTACAATCTTTTCTCTAATGCTTGATGAAGGGTGTTTGTGCCCAAAAGCTTGCAATTAAAGACTTTTTTTTCCGCAAAAATCTTGTTGGTCTAATAAAAGATATCACCTCTACTACAAGTCCTGATTATAACCTAGCAAATTAGTGCACAGTCCAACGGTTGTATTTGTTTTTGCTTTAATCTTAAAGATTGAATAATATAGTGCTCGCCCCTTAGCATATTAGCAAGGTTTCTCATATAACTGGAGAAAAAAATGTATGTTTTGTTGTATGCGATGATGCACGACACCGTCTGCACCCCCTGTTCAAAATCTTAGGTCCACCCATGGATAGGCCCCCTCCCCAGGGTTGAATGTCAGCTTCTGTGAACACTGATAGGGTGCCCACATACAGCATGTTACAGGCTCTTGGCTTTGTTGAATAATCTGAAAATGCTAAACCATAATTTTTAGATGGAGAAGCAAATTGCACCTAGTTCCCTGGCCTGGCCCTGTTTTGACCAGAGGGATCTCTGCGTTTATATCCACACCTGCTGCTCCATTGATTTCTCTATCCAGACGGTCCACAGAAGGCATTTTCACAGTGCAGCCGTGCACGCACACCGAGCCAGAGGCTCCACCAAGGAATTGTGGTTGCAGCTAATTAAGCCAGTGTAGCTTCCGCTGATGAGGCTGGAGGTTGCAAGAATGCTTCCACAAATCATCCTAAGCTGTTTACTGAATGGCTAAACAGCAATTAGGAACTTTTCCCATCACTTAGAACCATCTGAAGGGCAGCACCTCGGAGGGTAAATCTCTTAAATTATTTATTACCTTGAAATGGATGGGCCTGGTCTAGAAAAGTTCATATAACTGTGCTCAGTCCTGTGTCCCTCACTACCAGAAGGAAACACAGCGATAGGGGAGCTGCGAGAGTTAGCGCCCGGGGTCTTCCACCCAAAGCTAACTGTCACCAGCACAGGAGGATGGGAGCAACCCCATTAAAAGTTTCTTTGGTGGCAACACTAAAAGGAGAAAGAGACATTGTTGAGGGTGGGCATAGGAAAAGAAGAGTTGAAAATGAGAAACAGGACACTTAGTATGAATGCCAGTGACATCTACTGATGGTGGAGTAGCTTCCCAAAGGACAGTGCAGCAAGAGCAGCAGTAGGTACCATTGGAGGCCTATGGGATCATGCCTATAGTTGGCACCGTTCAAGGGGACAGTGTGGGAGGACAGGTGTTGTATAAAGATTAAGAGCTTCACTATTATTATTCACTACCTAACCCTGCCCTCTCAGCCATTTCCTGAGGAAAGAAGCTAATTCATCAAGCAACTGAGTTGTGAAATGTGATGTCTTTCCAGTAACATCCAGCTTGCTCGGCACTAACTGAGGTGCCTATGTTCACCCCTGTGGATGCACGTTGCACTACCTCCCAGAGGCTAACAGCTCATTACTGCTTTTGAATGTAAGGATCTCCCTTTTTACCTGTTTACTTTGATGGTGCCAGCTCCATAAGACAAACTAATACCTATTTTTTCCTAAGAATTACACCATCCAAATGGTCTAAGCAAACCTGAAGACTGAGACATAAATCTAACATGCAGCTGACAAAATTCCCAGGACAATCCTGTAAAGTGAAGCCATAATAGTGTGTGTGTGTGTGTGTGTGTGTGTGTGTAGTGGGCTCTTCCCTGTTCCAAGAACAAACTATAACACTTCACCTGCCTATACTTCAATAGCATGGCAAAGGCTCCCTAAGAGATGGAAAATTTAATCATATCCCTTTGGTAACCCATTTCAGTTACTCTCATGAGTAAAATAGTCAAGGATAGTGATACTGCTCATTACCTCAAGTAAAGTGATGACTAAAAGCATGTTAGTTTTGCAACTGGATGCACTGTGCGCCCAAATTCTGAAGTCCTAACTCAGATCTTACTCACCGAAGTCAGAGTTTTGCTTAAATACAGGCTGAATGAGAACTAGGCAAGGACTTCATGCATTTAGTCCTGGCTGAGAAAATCCTCTACAATTAAAGAAAAAAAAGCAAGTAAAATGTGGCATCAAGGCCGCTATATAATACATCTGTAGGGCAGATGAAATTCTTGCGAGGCCTCGAGGGAATGACCATTAGTAAAATGGTTGTGTCCCAGCCCTGTCTTTCCTCTGATAGAGTATCAGTTTCCCCATGCGTTCCCTGGGGGACTGTTTTATCCAAATCCATTATCTACACTGTGTATCTGTGTTTGTTACTGGGACATTTTTTTTCTGCTGTGTCAGTGGGAAGCTGACGTGGGAGCTTGGAACAAGAAACTTTAAACATCAATCGACTCCGGTAGAAACATACAGCGGCTGGGTATCTCTGCACATTACAGCTCTAAGTGATCAATAGTAATGTAATGCTATAGTGTGATATATTATCACCAGATAGACATTTACAGATTTGATTAGGCATGGGCTCTTTTTAAGGGACCACTGGGACTGTAACAAAGCCTTCAGGTACAAAGTCCTGGCATCTGAAGGCTTGAAGCAGAGAAATCCTTGCTCCCTACATCCAGGAGGCTTCACTCAGCAGCAAAAGCTCTCTTGTCCGCACCCTTGTTCCTGAAAGCCGTGGCTGGCTTCTTCCAAGAAGAGCTTTAAGGGATGGAACAAACATCTCCTCCCCGGAAAAATAAAAGGTCATGCACAAGATTATTTTGGGCAGTGTTTCCTCATGCCTGCTTCCTCGCTTCTCTAGTGATCTATGCTTTGCTGGGGGCTGTCATGTTCTCTCACATTGAGGGGAACAGGAAGATCACTGAGAGCAAAGAATACGAAGATTTTATGCACAGTCTGTGGAACATCTCGCAAAATTTATCAGGTAAGTGCTGTCATAGATAAAGGACTTAACTGTACCAGATCTTACCAATTCCCTTGCAAAATGAGACCTCTTAGCTTGAAGTATTTATGCACAGGCTAACGAAAGTCAAGCCTGGAAGCAGCTTTCCTGATATGTTTAGACAGGGATTGGGTTTATTTGCTTAGCTTCTCTAATTATGATTTCCAAATTGAAGACTTCCAGTCCCTGTGTGAATATTTGCAGAGATTTTTGTGGTGCTTGCTTTCTTCTTCCCTTTCTGCTCCCAGCATTAGCAAGGGCAAAAGTTACCCCAAAGCTAAGGAACAGCTGAGAGTGCCTAGATATTTTAAAGGGTTTTCTTTATCCCAACAGGTCAGCTAGGAATGGGAGGTCTGTCTGCAGCCCAACAAAGCAAAATATAAACGCAGCTCAGACTCAAATAAAAGCTGGCTTATAATCACTCTCTCTGTGAAGAACAGTCACCTCACAATAGGGAATATAATGTGCAGCAGGAAGGTTGTTTTGTTGGATGGGGGCTGGGTGGGCAACACCTACCCATTGCCTATAGTAGAACAAGAAGAGAGCTTGCACGACTGGTCATTGACTATAAGGACTCGTGTACGCTTAGTTATCCCAGCGCAAGCATCTGGGGGATTCTCTGATTCCACAATAAGAGGTCTTTTTTTTATTTAAGTGAATCCACTTTGGAAATGACCTTTATTAGGGGAGGAATGAGAGGGATAAGTCGCAATCAAAAGATGCCAGTCTGGGCAGGCTATAGGGGTGGCTGCTTGAGATAGTGCCAGGGGAAGGAATTGAGCCAGTGGTCGGCCGTGGGCTCAGGCAGTAACATGCAAGAGATTTTACTCTTCACTTTCTGATGATAAGTTGTGATATTGTTTTGAGTAAAAGATCTGGCTGGCTGGATGCACTTCTTCATTTTCCTGTTCGGCTGCCCAATCAGAAGATTAAATTTGCTGGGAGTCGGTTGTAAAACTTAGCATCCAGCAGGTACCTAACTGAAAAGAGCTGGATAGCCTGGAAGACACATAACAATATTGTCTTTATTTTCTCTTTGGTAAATCTTTTACTCCCTTTTTTCTAACTAGCCCGCTCAGTTTCTCTGTACTAAATGTTACACCACAGTTTGTTTTTCTTTGACCAGACCTGTCTGTTCTCGAAAGTTTATTCATGAAAGGTATCGGTCTGATCCAACCTAAATGCATGGAAAAGTGTGTGTGCATGTGTGTGCGCGCGCGCACGTACGTGCATGCATGTGCACGTGCGAGTGAGAGAGAGAATATTTCCTTAATAAATAACAGAGCCAGCTCATCAGTCTGACTGATGGAAGCATGCTGATCTGCAGTGTCTGACGATCTGGGCCGCAGACTTTAAACAATAACCGCATCTCATTTTGACAGCGTACGCAGAAAACTGGTCAGAAGTTAAGGAGCTATTTAAGAACAAAACTGTTCCTCTGCTCAAGGATGCTAGATCCGAATGGTTTGCCAATCCAAAAGAACAATGGTCCTTCCTGGGGTCTCTGTTTTTCTGCTGTACTGTATTCACAACAGTGGGTAAGTTCTGAGGTAAAGTACATCTTACCAAATCCATTGTTTTTGCTTCATTTATCTCAGGTACTTCATTCAGTGAATTCACTGAAGCAGGGGGAGGGAGGGCAGGGGTTGAGAGATGCTGGTTAGCATGTTTAGCGGGGACTCTGCAAACATTCTCTGATGCATCTTAGGCACACATCTGAGTGACAGCAATTGCATTTGCTAATTAGATACTCAGTTGTGGGCATACAAGGTATAACAATTTAATAAAACTCTTATTATAGTCCAAGAGTGCTCTGCTGTCTTGGGCCTAAGTGTCTCCTTGTCCTCCCACTGCTGTGAATTGTGCTGGGTGCTGCCTTCCACACTAGAGGAAGTTATTCATATAACATATGTCATGTTAAAGTTCACAGCTATTTAGGCTTAGGAGATTTTTTAAAGTTCTTCTATATTTATGTAAAAGGTAAGGTAACAACCTCTTCTTTGGGAATGTGGATGCATAATGGTTAATCAAGTTTCCTAAAAGCACTACTGAAATCTTTTATTTCGGCTCCAGATTTAGACGAGCGAGTTGGATATGAACAAAAATGTTTGCCTAGTTCCTGCTCTTTCAACAGCACTTAAAGCTACTTTCCAAGCCAGTGCCTAATGCTACTGTTATTCTTCTTAATAACTGTTTTCACATATTCACCAGCACATGCTACAACTAGTCCACCACAAAGCTAACCATTCATGAAGAATTAGAGCTGGGTGGGAAATGGTTTTCCTGCCCTGCAAAAATTTTCAGTGCATCAAAAACAATTTTCTTTGGCATTGGGGTGAACCTAAGATCCTTCAAAGCTTTGTGAAAAAAAAGAAAATAAAACACTAGTTAGAGTGTGCTCTGTCCCAGAAAATCAAGTTGGGATCAGGTTCCACACCTCGGCTCTGTTTAATTCAGAGGAAGGATCAGAATCTCGCATCTCTCTCATCTCGGGTGATTTATTGACCCGCCGTCTGTCTGTGAACAACCTGACCATCACCAGCCTGGTGGCTATTTTGTGGGTAAGGGATCTCTCTGTTAATACATCTTGGAGCTGTTTTACTTTGCATAACTAAACATTATTGGATGCTGTAATTACAGTGGTTAAGAGACCCAAGTCTCTGCTCCAACAACTGTTTATATAAATAAACTAGAACAGCTCCAATAGGAGACACCATGAGACATCCATCCCCAAACAGTTAAATAGCATTAAGAGTCACCTATGATGTGAAAAAAATGGCATACCAAGGACTTATCTGGGTCTAATGGCTATTTGGGGTGGGGGGGGGAGGGCAGGGTAAGGTAGTGGGGGCTCTCTCTACCTCTGTTTCTGTCCAGACATTTCATCTTGGACTTGAAAAAATATTGGTTGAAACTAGTACATTCTTACCCACCCTCCATGGGCTGAAAACCCCCCAGACTGAACTCCTGCAATAAGCAGCACTACAAGATATTATTTGGGGGGGCTGGGCTGTTTCGGGGCTGGCGCGCGCTGGTGCTGTGTGCACAGCAGTGGAGAAGAGAGTGGCAGGGGTGCTGGGCATGGTGCTGTGGGGGCAGTGGCACTGAAGCCACTGTTGCTGGCCCAGTTTGGAGGGGCCAAGCCCTGTTAACCCCGGCCTCCCGCCACCTAGGACTCCCTCTGCCCCCTTTGCCCCCTCTCATTCTGAAAACAGATCCAGGCTGGGAGACGATGCAGACACAAGTTACAGAAGAGGCTCTGTTTTGAAACATCTTTATCTGACCCCTCATGCAAGAAGGGCTCAGATTTTCACCCAACCGGCCATTTTTTAAGCAGTCTGCAGCCATGTACTTTTGTTTGGTCACAGCGATAGACCGCTTTGTGGCCAGATCAGGCAAAAATTGTCACTTCTGTCTGCGCCCTTAGGCACTTACAAGCAACCACAGTTTCTTAAACCTCCAACATGCTTGTTCCTAAATAGCCCATATCTATCAGCCTTCACAGGAAACTGCAAAGCACACGTGTTTCTCTGGATCTTTTGGAAGGCTAAGATTATTTTTTTTTTTAACTAGCTGCTACTTTATAGGGTTGAACTTCTGTATATTTGTTATCACTGGAAATTTTGGTAACTGTTAGAAGACCTACAGTGTAGGAGAGGCATTTGCATCTGTATGAATTAAAAGGAAGAAATAGAAGAGAAAACATTTGGTTTAATTATGTCAAAAATGGGCCTAAAATCTTCCCAAAAGATAAAATATTAACAAAGGAAGAGGAAAGAATTCATTGAAAAGCAAATGAATGATGCCCTCCCCCCCGCCCCCAACAAAAAAAAAGAAGCCCAACCCTTTAAATTGTTGGAGGCTGAGGAGCACTGCCATTAAAACTTTAATACAATTTATCTGATAGTTTCCTCTAATGGAAATGCATTAACTTTGGGTTTTAGCTTCACACCAAAGAAGCAATGGCATAGCGACAGGAAGGGAGTGTTATGTCCTAATTTAATTCATGGCAGTATATTCTCTACTACCATTTTTTTACTGATAATGTTCAAATCACAGAGAATGACTGGCAATAATTCTGCATTTGTTACAGTTGATACTTATGCATTTCAGATCTGCAGAGTATAAAATTATTATTTTCCAGTTACTTCTTTCTTTCATGTATGCTCAATTCCTGAATCTGTGTTCCTGAAAGCCCAACCCTACCACTGTCTGTATATCAGTACAACACTTGCCATCAAAGCCTGGTCTACCACACTGTCTACCAGACAGTCACAGACCATGTACTTAGCAACACCATTCAGTAATGATCTTGAGTCACAAATTTCATGGTATTATGATTCCTTGTTCCAACCTGTTGCACAGAAGTGTGCCATGTGCAACATTTGGGCTATAAACAGATGTCACACTTATCCTGGGATAACCCAATTAATCTTGGGACAAAGGACAATCATTCGGGCTACAGAGGTAGGGTTTATCCTGGGTCAGATTGTCTCTCACTGGTTTTGACTCTCATTAAAACAGGTGCAGGACAGTCATTTACACAAGCTGCTTGAATGGCAATTAAATTACGCCCCCACAGTCTGGGGGTCGGGGGTGGAGTGTTATCTTGAATACATCACAGATACTTAAAGTGGGACAACGGGCTTGTATGTCTGTATAGTCCCTGAACAAAAGGCTTTATCCTAGGAGAAATCCAATGCCTGTTTATAGCCACAGACATCCATGTTTGTCTTGGGATAAATCCTAAAATAGTTTCCCAAGTTAGAGGTAGCAACAGGGTATCCCAGGATACAGCAGAGTATGTCTGTACCATTACCTTGGGATTGCATCATTGAATCATTGGCAGAATCATTGAATCAATGGCAGAAAAGCAGCATTGCATTCATCTGCTCACTTAACTCTGATTAGAAGGTCATCGTGTTTACATGCCAATCCTGGCATATTCCCCCCCCCCCCTGCAATTTATACAGGAACAAATGCAATGTCTGTTACTAACTGTAAATTCAGATCTGAACTTTCTCAAAGCTCGAGGAGTCTTGTTCTACTCTTACATGGTCATTCATAAGTAAAAATGGAGTCCAAACTGTGTTCAGGTCACCACAAGCGCTATGGATTGTGCATAGACGCTTTCAGAGAGAATATGAAGAAAACCACTCTGCGCTCTGTCCTGTCCAGTAAAATGGACCAGATTGAGGGGTCAGGAACTTAAGAAAATCTGAAATCTGAATCTGAAATTGCTTGTCACACTTCCTCAGAGCTCCTGTGGCTTGGGTTGGGCACCAATCCCATGGCTATGTCACATTTATACTCTCAGCCCTTCCATGACAGTTCAAGTCCAAATTACACAAAAGAATTCACATCGTCACGGGTTCAAACTTCTCTGTTGAGGATCTCAGAAGTAATGACTAGTCTTGTTGCTTTGAAAACAGCCAGTCTCCTTCTCAACTAACCCCAACTGCTGGGCTATTTCGCCTTCAGTCCAACAGACATACCAGCATTCAACAAGACTAACTAGCATCCCATATGTAACTGCTCTGCTAGAAGTGCTAGTGTTTCTTCTGTCTCAAATGTTTTAAAGTGTATTTTAAAGGCTTGAAATGGATGTTAATTTTGACTACAAAAAGGTTGACTAAAAATAACCCCTTAACACAAACAGCACTAGAAGTTCAATTATTTGAATGCAAAATAAATCACAATGTCCTGTTTTCTGGTTTTGTTTTTGGTTTCTTTTAGGTTATGGCCATACCTACCCTATAACGAAGCTTGGGAAATACTTGTGTATGTTATATGCTTTTTTTGGTATCCCTCTGATGTTCTTGGTTCTGACTGACATGGGAGACATCCTGGCAACTATCTTGTCCAAGTCCTACAATGAATTCAGAAAACTTCAGTCAAAAATTCTAACTTGCAAACTGTGCTGCAAGAAAAACAGGGACACCAAAGATGGGATGTCGCTACTTATGAAACAAAGAATAGTGATCCGCGAACCCCTGAGTATCACAGAAGTGCTGAAAAGTCAATCCTCTGTTATAAGGAAATCACAGCAAAGCCGCAATGTTGAAATATTTGAAATGCTAATTGCCAGAGAAAATCAGTACCTTGCGCCATCAGTAAATAAAAAACTTGAAAGATGGAGTTCATGTCCTGAACTAGATAGGAGAAAGATGATGAGCCATGTCATTGACAACTTTGACAAAATAGGAAAAGAACTTGAAAAGCTAGATGTGCCCATCATTTTAATGGCACTGATTGTCTTTGCATACATCTCCTGTGCAGCAGCTATTCTTCCAAACTGGGAGCAAATGAATTTTGAGGAAGCATTTTATTTTTGCTTCATCACCTTGACAACCATTGGGTTTGGAGACATTCACCTGCAACATCCCAACTTTTTCTTGTTTTTTTCCCTCTACATTGTAATTGGCATGGAAGCAGTCATCATTGCATTTAAACTGGGCCAAGATCGATTGATCTCTTTTTACAAAAATTTGATTTCATACTTTGGTCAGAAAAAGGCAACCCAATATAAGCAGGCTCCATTTACAAAACATGTATTGCAGCAGCCCCTGACACATTCACTGGCAATTGCACTAAAGTGAAATTGTCACTTCCATTTCCTCTCCCTCCCTTATGGAAAGCTGACAGGGGACATATGTTCCTCGTTGCTTTAACACGTGCCCCACTTTCTCCAAAATCAGTGGGAACGTGCTGTACATGAATTATGCACAAACAAAGTTTCATAGTTTCATAGTAGTTTGGGGTCAGAAGAGACCTAAATAGATCATCTAGTCTGACCCCCTACCACTGGCTGGATCACATGACCCCAGACAGGTGTTCATCCAACCTCTTTTTGAATTTACCCAAGGTAGGAGCGAGGACCACTTCCCTAGAAAGTTGGTTCCAGATCCTAGCCACCCTAACAGTGAAATAGTGCCTCCTAATCTCTGAAGTGTATAACTAGAAATAAGAACCAAAACAACATGAGGAAAAAGAATAGAATACTTCCACATCTGGGCTCACATCAGTCTTATGACCCCTGGCAATGGACCTTTCACTTCCCGCAGGCATGGTCTCCAAGTGAACCAATTTATAGGCCAACCCCTGAGCATCTGCACAGGCAAAACTGAGGCAAAATTCATATTCACCTGAGTCAACCAGTGCCTAGTCCCCTGCCTGCTTTTTGTCGTATTACTCAATCCATCGTGAATATTAATGTTATTGTTATTGGGATTATCAAACAGAGTTGGGAAATGGAGATGCTTCCCCAACTGCCGTTTGCTCATAACCTTATACATTGTAAACACTCACGCTCCACAATGGTCAGTGTGAACTTAAAATAAAAATAGATAAAATTTCAGTTCCTCCCCCATCCAGCTGTTTTACAGTATCAGAAAGTGCAAAGCAGCCAAAAAGCTGCCAATCAATGAGTAACTAGAGAAGGCCTAGTTACCTCTTAAGTCTTTGTAATCTGCATTATGTATGTATGTATGTAATGTATTCACCCAAGGAACCTTGTCTGCCTATGTCCTTAGACCAACACGGCTACAACCCAAACCCCTGCATGTATGTATGCATGCATTCATAATGATGTTCACTGTTCAGCTATAGTATTCAACCACTTAGCAAAGTTGGTGCTCATGAGATAAGTAGCAGTGGCAATGCATGTTATAAACCCAAAAATACATCCCATCGTATGAGCAATAGCTCCCGGTATTAGAGAGGCAGCGTGGCCTAAGCTGCCACCAGAGGAGATTGGAATCCCAAACTTCTAATCGTAGCTCTGTCACTGACCTGATGTGAGGTTTTGGGACAAATTACTGCTTTGTGTCATGTTCCCCCATATACAAAAAATCCCCTATCTCCTTGGGGTACTGTGAGGATTAAACAGTTTATGCTTGCTGAATATTGTGAACATATAAAGCATGAAATACGTGATAAGTATTATTCAGAATAGGTTTAGGCAGAGATCCCCACCATGCTAACAACGATGCATCTTTTTGTCTATCAAACATTTTATCAAGGGAGCCACTGCATTTAATTATGTCTTGGCTCATAAATTATGTGAATAAAAACTGAAGATGAATGAAGACAGTGGGTAATGTCATGCATTTGATCATGATATTAAGTACTATATTTTTATTAGCATGTTTGCCTTTGAAGCATAGTATGATGGCATGATATGAGTGATGATAGCTTCTAATAATCTTAATGGGTGTTGGCAATTCATATTCAGTCCTCCGTATTAATTAGTAGTAAGTAAGCACTGGTGCTATATAAAATATGTAACGTATAAAATAGATGGACTGATGATGTACAAAAATGTACCGTATAATAATAAACATGCCAACCTCCACTTAGAAAGTTATTTTCTTCTCTCATCCTGTGTCTGCATCCTGCAGACTTGCAGTTTTTCCATAAAGTTTTTCTTCAGTTAGTACTCAGTGCTACAGCCTCTTCTCAGACCGAGTCCTTAACCCGTGTGAATATTCCTCCTGATACTAGGGAGACCCCATGCATGTTTAACAGTGGGTAGAGGCTTGGGTCCATGTTGTTCCCTCAATAAGGCAATGCACCTGTGTTTTGGTGTTCATTTTTAGGCCTTATTCAGACATTTGACAGAGCTCCAAATTTTCAATCCCTGCATCAGGACCAGAAGAAAGGTTCTGAGCACCAAAATATTCTGCGTAGAACAAAGACAAGACTACACTGAAGCAAACCATGTCTTCCAACAGTATATTCTGATGTTAGAAAAGCATGACAATCAAATGTGTCTGGGTCATAAAGCTAATAAAAATATTCAAGTGAATCTATTTTTTTTAAAGCTAGTCGTCTTCAAGTTTATAGCTATACACCAGGCAGAGAAATGCGCTCTTACATGGAACATAGAAAGCGGTCCTGAACAAGGGTAGGCAAAAACATCAAAGGCATAGGCAGGGGCTGGTTTCTGCAGAGCTTGAAAGCACTGAGCAGATGCACAGAACTGAATACAATGAAGGCTGTCCCCTCTGTTCCCTCAGCCTTGTAGGAAGTTCTTGCAGCAAAGCCCTAGGTGAAAGAAATGCAAAGGAAACAGTTGTCAGACCCGGATGTGCATGAGTGACTGGTGCCTCCTGGATCTGGGAGGGCACCCACAGAAGCCGCTGATGGCAGCTGCCCTGTCAGGGGGCACCAGCCCTACTGACAGCATCAGTGTTGGCCATCGGGGGTGGGCACCAACTCCATCAGGGGGGCACGTGCACCCCCTACCAGTCGCCTATGCAGATGTGCGTCTCAGATGGAGACATCATTAGCCTAAGGGCCTGCACAAAAGAGTCTCAAGGGATAAAACAGTAATAAAAAGAAGTCCCAGGACTGAAAAACCATGAAACTACCAAAGAAAAAATATATCTTCTCCTTCAACCAGTCATTTAAACAGCCACAGCCTATTCCAAGCATCCCTTCAATTTGCACTTCATTAGAGCAGTCCAAAAAGTGCTAGTAGGATGTGAAGCTTTTCATCTGTAGGGCAGTGGAGGCAAGGTTTTAGTAGAGAAAATAATGATAATGCCCGATAGACTTTGTGGTTTTCCACTTAGCTCTGGATGGAGGCACATCAACATCAGAAACACACAGGAGGCTTGATAGCAGCCTCAGCGGAGGCTGAGATCCCAAATAGAAGATCCGCTTGTATCTCAACATTTCCACATCCCCAGAATGACTTTGACTCCAATCCTTGTGCTAGTCAGGAGGTGGAGTGAACCATGTAACACACATATTCTGTGAACAAAATAAGCGTGTGCTTTGTTCAGGGCTGAAGATTTTCACAAACCCAGTATTCATTTCTATAGAGAAAAACACCACAGGCTGTACAAAGCAGTGCTACAGGATACATTCCTGTATTGTAAAGCAAGTGCCAAATGTGTTGCTAGATTAAAGTTTGCCTTTCCCTATTACCCATCCTACACACATATAATTGTTTAAAAAGAAAAAAAAAACCCCAAGCCTCTGGGGTATCAGAAACTGTATACAATGCATTGCATATAGAGAGATGGAAAATCAAATTGCCCAGGATAAGTTCCAGTCACATTTGTCCAAGTACATAAGCACAGATGGTGAGAGAAATACTGGGAATCAGTTATCTCAACCACAGTGATAGTTGCCAGCAAACAGTCAAAAGATCTCTCATATATTGGACTTTTTTTTTTTTTAATAGAAAGCTGAAGTCTGAACACAAGGATGGTTACACAATTTTGTTATTATTTCTGCTAACAACTAAGCAGGTATTTGCATATGCTATTGTTTGGGACACTAGTAAAATGTCAGCAAGTAACAGCATCCAATTTTTCACATGGCTTTTCTTGAGAAGTTTAGCCCCCTGTCTCACTAGGTGCAGTCAAGATTGTGTGAGGTCAGCGCAGGTTGACTCAAGCTGACACAACTGTAATTCATGGGTAGGGCCGAAGACTTTGGTGAACTTGTCCCTTAGCTCTGCTGATCAATTCTTTCCACCTAACAACATTACAGATAGTTGTGGTTTTACAAAAGCGGGTGTCATGCCAGCCAACGCAAGCGTAGAAACGAAACACAGAAGGTTCAATGACCAGAAAAAGAGGGAATGAATTTAATGAAAAATTAAACAGCTTTGTGTCAACTATTTATTGATGAGAAATCCAGGTAATAAAGTTCAGCCTAATGACATCACCTCACACTATTTGCTTCCAAAAAATGCTCCCAGAACAAGACACTGAGAAAAAGTATACTGCGGGTAAGCATATAAAATTGCCAATGTACTTGAGTCTCAGTGTAAAAAGAGTTGTACTTAATCTACTGCATGCTGCAGGCTGTCAACAGGCTTCGTGTTGAGTGCTCTGAAGGAGAAACCCATTGGTTTGTCAAAGCAAGTGTTAACATTCGCTGTCTCTTTTCACATGTGAAGTAGAGGCTCCAGAAACAAACCAAGGTTTGGGATTTGGCATTATTACTGTATTACTATATGGTACTCATTCTACAAGCCTACCATCCTATTATTTGCTTACAGGGAGTTAAGTTATGATTGAAAGCAGATTTTACAAGTATTGCAGTATGTATTCAGGTAGAAGCCCTTCAGTCTTCAGATTCATTCTTACATTTTCTCTTATTTGAGTAGAGCACAATGCTTCATCTCAGTGGTGAATGAATGCCCCCAAGTGTATGAGGAGATTATTGATCAACAGTGCCAGCTGCATTATACTCAGCAAAAGGCATCCGGCCACACTGACAATTACTGAGCAGCTTTTCAGACACATCCAAAGCAAAGAGCTGACAAGTCAGGAATAAGGAAATACATTTTCATAATGATCCATATTATAAACTTCAAATGAGGCAGTAAATGAAATGGCATGAAACAGATACAATGTATAGTAGGGGAGGGGAAAAGATGCATCATAAAGTGTACCAGGATGGAAAAACTACACATTACCAAAGAATACAAGAAAATGAAGCCATGTTAAAGGGATGGTAGCACAAGTCCTGTTCCTAGCCATTGCACAGAGAATTGCATTGGCAAGTCTGAAGTCATGGCTATGTTTTGAGCACAAAAAAACATTTCTTTCCCTTTGTAGTTTCAAAGTTGTGACAGGGC